CTCTCTATCGCAGCTCCGGGCGCTACGTCGGCAAGAGGTTGCTGAATCTTTGCCTGCTCGGTTGCCCCAGGTTCTGGAAAAAACTGTGCGTTCGGTGACCCAGACAGGTACAGTGGCGCCGATACCAATGCACAACGATAGGAAAGCAAACTCGAAAGCATTGGCGCCTAGTGTGGTGAATGCCAGATTAGATGAGTGGCTGGAATCTGTAGAAGGAAAGCAATGGCGAGCAGATCGAGAGAAGGTGTGGTCCTAGATTCAGAAACACTTCCGCTCCTGCGCAAAAGTTTGCTGCGCTTTCGGCCACGCATGGGTCATGCTGTTCAGCCCCAGTGGGGAAACCAACCTGATACTTGTTGCAGTTCTTTCCTTGGCAGTTCTCCACACCCACTGGGAAAGTTTCCCAGTGGGTGTGGAGAATCAGAGAGAGAGAGAGACAAATAATTTTGCCTTGTTGTTCCCAAGAACTGTGGCGTCCCAGTGACATCAATCTATCTGTAAATCTATCTGTAAATCCGGCCAGGGGCGTAGGCCCAGGGCCGTGTCCTCCCGGGGGGTGCTAGCTACGTCCCCGGCGCGTTTTGGGCTAGAATTAGATTGTGGAATCGGTCGGAGAGGAGCCCCCTACTTAGATGGGCTGTGGTTTTATAACTAGTTATGTTGTTATCTTACATTTAGTAACTATGTGGTAACTGTATACTAACAAGGTCTTAACTGTACTCTAACACATTATATTTTGCTTAACTTGTTAACATAATTGCTAATTTTCTATAAAAGTTACATAACTAACATAATTAGGTTAATTAAGTTAAAAAGTTAGCAAAATTATAACTAGTTAGCCTAGAAGACCACATCAAACCTAAACAACATTTTTACTAGCAAGCAAGCAACATTTTTTAGCCTATAAGCAAACATTTTTTGGTAGATGTGTTGGTTCCTTGTCTTGTGCATTGTGCCTTTTGAAATAAAAATTCAAGATTTTGTCGACAAGTTTTCATTCAGAACAATATAGTGGCTTGACACCCAGTGTCCATTAGCTGCATGGCTTACCATGTACAATAGCTGCATGGCTAACCAAATCCTCTAGTTGCATGTCAATTAGCCGCATGGCTGGCCATGTCAATTAGCTGCATAGCTAGCCATGTCCAGTAGCTGCATGGCTGATTGGAAATAGAGCTCACAGGTTAGTTTGAAGTGGTAAGGTTTCTTGACAAGTCATTGTGACTGTGGCATTTTTACAGCTGTCTCTACATTCAGCCATGGAAGCTGCTGGTGTTGAGATCTCACATACTGTGAGCTTGAAGTACAATGGGAAGAAGCAATCGATCCCAGATAGCTTGATTGTTCAGGATGGTCTGGGCCATGAGTTCTTGAAGGTTGCAGCCACCAATCAAGTGATCTTGAGGCTGATCTGTGGCAATTGCCAAAAGAATGCATCGCTTGCTGGTGGCCAGGGAATTACAGACCTCAAGCAGCAGAGGAACCAGAAAGCTGGTCTTGCTGCAAGTGATGGACCAGATGAAGAAGAGTGGCTTGATGAATGTCCAGATTCTCCACATGGAGCCTCCAAGAAGAAGCAGAAGGTTGAGAAGGTGGTGACCTTGGACATCGGTGGTACACAGGTATCCATTCTGTGTCCAGCCAAAAGGCTGGCTGCTTCTGACTTGATGGTGAAGCTGGACACCGCTATGCTTTATGCAGTTTTTGAATTCCTCAAAGAGGATTGCCATGATGAGGGTCGGCCCACCAGGAAATACCAAAAGACTGGGTTGCATAAGAAAGCTGGTGGCAAGGATTGTGATGAACCACCTGAGGAGTGACACTGAACATGGAACTTGCTAAAGGAAAACAGGTTCGAGCAGTGCTTCAAGCATATGTTTTGATGTCATTGGTCTTCAAATCACATTATCCTTGTGGATTTGTCACACTTGATTGTCAAAGCTGACTTCAAATCACATTAT